AATAACCATGTTGCTATGTTGTTAAGAGCCTTCAAGTTGGTACCAACTCATTGCAGCCCTGAATAATGTTTTCCAAGGAGTGGCTGGTGAGTTTGAACTGCTGTGCTGACCTTGTGGTTCAAACCAACTTTGCAGTCCAGTGCTTTGTCCCACAGCACCACACTGGTGTGGCACTATAGGATAAACAAAGTTGGCAGTCTAAACCCACCAGCTGCTCCTCTGAAATCCTATACAGGGTCACAATGAGTTGGAACCAAGTTGATGGCACTTACTACAGCAAAAAAAAAAAAAAAAATGTGGGAGATTGAGGTTCTCCTGGCCAATGCATCTCATGTGCAGCAACCGCTCATCAGTCAGTGGAGGCTTGTGCGTTGCCATGAGTTGGACAGGTTGCAGTGGAGCTTCTAGACTAAGATGGACCAGAAGAAGGCCCTGTGATCTACTTTCAAAAATCAGCCAATGAAAGCCCTAGGGATCACAATGGTCTGACCGACAAAAAATCATGCAGATGGCAAAAGACGGAGCAGTGTTTTGTCTCATTGTGCATAGCAGTTGCCCTGAGTTGAGGCTCAGTTCAGTAGTAGTTAATAAGAAGAAAATTCTACATGTGTGGATTCATCTGATTCTCACAACAGCCCTCTGACCTGAGTAATATTGTTCTCACCATTTAAAGTGGGTCTTAGACAGATTCCTTAAGTCTGGCCAGTGCATTACACAGTAGTAGGCAGAGAGGGCTTTCCGGGTGGGCTGGGAAGTGATCCCAAATTATAAGGTCTTGGTATGATTCTTATGGTGAAATGAAAATGTAGACTTTCATTTTTACATGCAATTCAGGGATGCTTACTAGCAATCCCATAATTGCGTCATTAAGGGTAACTACAATTTGATTTTTATAAACTAAAATTAGCTCATTGCTGAAGTTTATCGAGCACTCGAATTCAATATTCTTTCGGAAGGTAGGCAGCTTGGCAAGGCTGAGTTGGTTCCACTGGCCCCTGAGCTTGTGCAGAGAGCTGGAAGATTCACGATCATCAGCAACTCCCTATTCTTTGCTGCCATTGCCTTTGTCTTGAGATAGTAATCAATTTCTATTACGATTTTCTTGCTATTTAATGATATACTGCTAGAATTTCATCTTTACCACTATTTACTTAATTTGTGTGGGCATATTGACATATTTTAGCTTGTATTTTTTTCCCTAAAAAATATATCCATATGAGGAGCCATAGGAAACTGCTTATACTCTGCCATTCTTGACCTTAGGAAATTTACTATATTCAACCATTTTTGACCTACGAAAGTGGCAATTTTATATGGTTCAATCTAATAGTTCAGGTATAAATTAGTCATACATTGTTTGCTAGACAATTGTATGCATAATTCCTTCCAAATATGCTTGTGCAGTGACTCTTTATCGGTGATATTCTGCCTATGAATGTGTGTTATCTAAAATATCTACAACATCCACATAAGGAAGAATGCTGTTATTTCAAGTTTGCATCTCATATTTTTCTGTGATTCAGAAATCTTGATTGTACACTCATATTCCTTCTTCACAAAACTTTTTTATGTTCTTCTCTAATTCTTTAATACCTGATTCCTCTTCCACTATGCAGGGGGAGTGGTTTGGATAGTGGGATCTGTTGTACCATCTAAACAGACCATGGTTAAAGAAAATTGAAATGTACTTTCAAGTTCAATACCAACTAAGTGTGAACTCAAAACTCAGATCCAGGTCTGCCTGACTCACGTATGGAGGATGTGGGTGCATAGTTTGGTAAATGGTGTCAATTACAACCCAAACAAGAGATTTCAGCATTCCTTGACATCTCTAAACGGAAATTAGGATGTCATCATTTATTGAATGCCTGCTATATGCCATGCCTCCTGGGGGGTGCAGTAGTTAAGAGCTTGACTATTAGGCGAACGGTTGGTGATTTGGACCCATCTAAGAGACACCTCGGAGTCCTGGTGTGGCCTGTGGGCTAATGCATCAGACTGCAAAGTCGTTTGAACTGTGAGGTCACCAGCTGCTCCTTGGAAACACTATACAGGGTTGCTATGGGTTGAAATCGACTCAATGGCCCTTCACAACAATAACAAAGAGGCACCTCAGAAGACTAGCCTGGAAAACCACTTCTGAAAATTCACAGCCTTAAAAAATGGGATGGAACCTGGTTGACCATCAGTATGGCAAGACCTGGGGATTCCTAGGCTCAGAGTCAGTGACATAGCCACAGACGACTATAATGGAGAGTGAAGCATCCCACTGATAAGAAACGAGGGCATATGCACAAGAACACCCACACTTGCAGATAATACCCACTTGACCTGGCTTCAATGGTTGGATGATCAGGACTCAATTAGAAGAAGAAAGAAGAGGGAAAAAAGACTAATCTGATATAATTTGATGAACTTGACCTACACCTATGGATGCAGTAGCTCAAAAGGGGAAAAAAAAAATCTTTCCAGTGAGGATCATTCCCACCCCCTCCACACACAGAGTAGACAGGGATGGGAAACTTGGACATTGGCTACCCAAAATGAGGGGTGGGGGCTGGCGGGCTACAAAGGAAAGAAGTGACTGGTTTACAAGCTTTCAAGAGGGAGCCTAGATCCAGAGGGCGCAGAGGAAGGTAGAATCTCCACTGAGTAGTATCCAATCTGTTTTGGCGGGGCTGATGAAAGCAGATGTAGCTAGGTCTTTTGTGATACAATAGTGAATAATTGCTATCAGGACTGACTGTGAGGGTTGGAAATGTAAAGGTAGACATTTTGTAGCAAAAGGAGGGGAGTGATTGACTTTGCAGTCCAGGAGCAGAGGTCCCTGGGACCATCAAGGGAGAAGTGCAGAGTGTGGGAACCTACCCAGAGAAGCAGTGACACCAGAGATGGAGGCAGAGATGATGACATGGAGCTATGGAGTGGCTAGGGACTCTAGACCCAGAGAGGGAGAGGGCCTGTGTGCTGAGGACCAGGGGGCAGATTTGCCCTTTGGTTGTTTGATGATGCATAGAGGGGATTGTAACCATGACAACGAAACGATAGGATGAATGTAAAGCTAATGTTCTCCCATGTAAACTATCACATTATTCACAATAAAATATTTTTTAAAAATGGGATGGAGAAGTTCTACCCTGCATGCATGGTGGCACCACATTTTGGAGTTAACTTGATGGCAACTAACAACAACCATATGCTGTATTTGGCTAAACTTCATTTAATACGCACATCAAACTCTATGAGGTTGGTCTGATAGGTCCATACAGAGGGAGAAATAGGTTCCTAATGCTTGAATTATTGTTGTTGTTAAGTACCATTGAGTCAGTTCGAACTCATAGGAACCCTGTACAGCATTTCCAAGTCTGTAAATCTTAGTGGATGCAGAAAGCCTCATCTTTTTCCCAAGGAGCTGCTGGTAGGCTCCAACCACTGACCTTGTAGTATGTAGCCTCGTGCTTATACCACAGAACCATACTGCTCCGAACACTTGAATACTAGTACAATATTGCAGAACAAGTAGGACGATAATGAAAGCAGATAGTAGTTTCCAAAACACTTTTGATCATTCACCACATTGCCTTTTCATTTCCCTTATCTTTCCCCATATTAAATTCCTCATCTAATCCTACTGAGAAGTACTGGTATGGTACTGTAGGATAAGCATTGAATTGCTAACTGCAAGGTCAGTGACTCAAACCCACCAGTCGCTCTTTGGAAACTCTATGCAGTATTGTTATGAGTTGGAACCCACTCAACAGCACTGAACAACAATAATAATACTATTGAATCTAGCTATTATATGACTTTGGAATCTGTATCCCCTACAACATCATCACTAACAGTGTCCAATTACCGTCTCTCATGGGGACAAATGCAGTTGTCTCCTGGCACTTTGTCCAGTCCTTTCCCAGCTCCTCCATCTGGCCTCCACCTTGCCCCCAGCAACGCCATCCTATATAGATGGATAAAATTATGCCCCACCTCTTCAGTGGCCCTGCAGTACTTTGCAAGATCTAAAACACTGCATAATCCCGCTTTCAGGGCCATCATGCTGGCCCTCTCTGCCAACATCTCTTACTTCAATCCCTCCCCCTGTCCCAGTGTATCCAGCCATTCTCCACTCTAGCACCTGTGGTCTTTCCCATCTAATTCCTGGGATTTGATCTTTGTTGTTGTTGTAAGTGCTGTAGAGTCGATTCTGATTCATAGTGACCCTGTATAGTGTTTACAAGAAATGACTGGTAGACTGGAATCACAGTCCATAAGGTTAGCAATCCAGTGCTTGTCCTACAGAGCCACACCAGGACTTTAGAAGGCATCTGTTGTTGTTAAGTGCTGTTGAGTTTGTTCTGACCCATAGAGGGCATCTAGAGGGATCTTTTTAAAATTATTATTAAAAGCTCTACCCACCACTTTTCCTTCTTTCTTCAAGATCTGAATCAGATGAAGCTGCCTCTGGGAAAGCCATCCAGACTCTCCTATATGAGCAGGTTACGGCTCCTCCTCTTTATGGCCCTAGGACTTTGTACACATTTTTCACGGAATGGTTTCCGTTGACTAATAGTTGTTGAAATGTCTAATCTGTCTTTCCCACTTGATAATGAGCCCCTAGGTGATAAAGATCAGGTTGTATTTGTCTTTGAATTACCCTCATTCAGAAGAGTGCCTGGCACAAGGTCAGTACTAAATAAATGTTCATTAAATGTACAAATATTCCCATGTTCTCTTGTGTACACATGAACATACAAAGAAACTCTACAGTTCAGTACATGAGAAACTGCACCAGAGTAAGGATGCCTGAATTCAAGTCCAAGCTTGACTGTCAATTGGCTGTTTCAACAGGGACAGTACTTATGTGTGTCCCAGTCTCCTCACATGTAAAAGGAGTGAGCATCTAAGTGCCCTTCCAGGACTCACATTTGATGTTGCAAAGGATTTGACAGCTCATGCCTGAATATGTCTCTTTTTCTCAACAGAAGAACACCTCAGACATCTTCATGGCTCAGAACCAGGAGAATCGAACCGAGATCTCAGCCGTAAAGTTCAATGGCCAAGATTTTAAATACTTGCGGGATCGATGCCTGCGCAGGGGCCAGCTGTTTGAGGATGAGACATTCCTTCCCGTGAATTCCTCCATAGGTCTGCAGTTGCTCCAGAAAAAAAACCTCTCTCAAAGTCCAAAGTGGATGCGCCCAACTGTAAGTGAACCCCCAGGAGCACTCCCAGCTCAGTCTTGCTTTAGCACTTCCTACTGGAGAGACTAGGTGTTCAAACTGGAAGGGCAATGCAAGTCATCTGGTCTCTCTGTAACAATTTTTATCCAGTCAGAAGGATGAAAAGACCCTGTACCAGGAACCAGGAACCTTGGGTTCTTTGTCCATTTTGAGCAAAGTTATCAGATGAAAATGTCTGGATTTTTTCATCTGAAAAATAGAAAACATGAGGATTAAGATTGTAGCCTTTGGTTTCTAGGTCCATAAGTGAGCCAATCTATTGGTCTCCTTGTTCTTCCTTCTCTTCAGACGACTGGCTTTATTTTTACCCTTGTCTCCTTCCTCAAAGGGAAGATATCATATCAGTCATTTATGCTATAGGATGAGTTTAAATAATCACCTTATTGCTATTAGTTATATAAGGAGGCTTCAAAAAGTTCATGGAAAAGTGGAATGAGAAGATACTGGAATTTTTCCACTAACTTTTTGAAGTCCCCTCATATTTGTATTCTCAATCTTAAAGATTTTGATCATGTATAAACAAATTTCAGACACCAGCTGTGAAATTAGGGAGGTATTATAGACAACTCTCAAACCACCCTGACTCCCACAGCCTACTAACTCCACCTTCCAGGAAGGTGTAAGCCCTGCTGATTTATCTAGGGCAACCATAAAGATTAAGTGCATAGCTAATAACTGAAAGGTTGGTGGTTCAAACTCACTTGACAGTTCCAGGAGAGAAAGACCATGTGATCTGCTCCCATAAATATTGTTGCCTATAAAATGCTATGATGCCATTCTAATCTTTCAAATAGGATTGCTATGAGTTAAAAACTCCTCAAAGGCACCTAACAACAACAAGTCCCAAGGGAAATTTCTCAGCCAACTCAACATTCTCATAACCTCCTTAGGGCTACTATTGAGGCAAAAGACCCAGGTAAGGAGTAGTTTGAAGGGTCTAATGCCCAAACCTCCTATTCATGTTTGCCCAAAGCTACCAGCAGAATCTAGAACACACACAAAAAAGGTAATGTAATGTCTAGTAAGCAAGAGATAATGATTCCTACAATTGTTACGAATATTGATTAAATGCCAAACACTCTACTGAATACTTTCGATAAAGAGATGTTGTTGTTGTTGTTGTTGTTGTTGTTGTTGTTGTTGTTGTTGTTAGGTGCCATAGAGTTGGTACTGACTCATAGTCACCATATACACAGCAGAATGAAACACTGCCCAATCCTGGGCCAAACTCACTATTGTTGCCATGCTTGAGCCCATTGATGCTGCCACTTTGCCAATCCATCTTGCTGGAGGTCTTCCTATTTTTCCCTGACCCTCCACCTTACCAAACATGATATCCTTCTCCAGCAACTAGTCCCTACTGACAACATGTCCAAAGTATGAGAGACCTAGATTCATACTTCATATAGTCCATGTTCCAATTATTAATGGATGTTTACAGCTGTTTCTCTTCATTTTGAGTTGTGCCCCATCAGCAAATGAAGGTCTCGTGGGCTTTTCTCCCATGGGCTTTACTCCATTTGTGTCATCACGGTCAACTCTACTTTGACGAGGCAGCTCTTCCCCAGTCGCATTTTGAGTGCCTTCTAACCTGAGGGGCTCATTTTCCGGTACTATATCTGACAGTGCTTCTCTGCTATTCATAAGGCTTTCAGTGACTAAATATTCAGAAGTAGTTCATCACTCCTTCTTCCTAGTATGTCTTTGTCTGAAAGCTCATCTGAAACCTGTCCACCATTGGTGACCCTGCTGATATTTAAAACACCAGTGGCATAGCTTCCAGAATCACAGCAACTCACAAGCTACCACAGTACGACAAACTGACAGACGAGTGGTGGAAAGAGATGTTGTTAGGGTCTACAAAAAAGATATTATCTGAAGATGCTTGCTAAGAAGCTATATGATCCCTGCTTTTAAAATCATTTGTCTGGCTGGTGGACTTATAATTCCATTCTGTCTGTGGGAAGGAGCCTTCAAGACATTGAGCTCTATAGGTGACACTTCTTGCCCCAACTTGGGCCAGGTTTACAGCTCTGGGGGAGAGGAGGACAAATGGAGATAGTTGAGGGTTGGAGATGCTGCTTAAAGAAAGTTTGGGTTGTTTTGGCCTTCTAGGCTCCATCTTAACAGCCAGAGGCAAAAGGTGGTCCTCAACAGCTCTCTTCTTATCTTCCTCTCTGAGTCAGAGAACTCTATTTAAAGATGTTCTGAAGGGTCATATTTTTTTCCCTTTGTTATTTTCAGAAGGTGAGAATCTTTTAGAGGGATGTCTCTTTCTTCACAAGGTGCTGAGCAATAGGTGTAAGACCATATTTACAGTGTTAGAGAGTTCATAGCATTTCTATTTAGCAGAGGCTGAGAGGTTTTTTAATGTCTAGTTCCAGCAACTTCTCAGCTTGCCTTTTGGGGGCAAAGAGAAACTGAGACAAAAGTGAAATGACTCAGCTAGAATCATGCCAAGCACCCAGAATAGAGGCAAGCAAGGGCCAAATACATTTCACTCCCACTTCTCTCCTCCTCCAAAATCATATCCAAACTGTACCAGGAGGTCATTTTTCATTCCAGCACTTGTTTTAAAATGTATATATGGGCATATCCTAATTCTTTGTGCACTTTACCACAGCTAGCAGACTTTACATTCGCATGGTACTTTCAGAATTTACCATGTGTCTTCTCTTTCTTGTCTACTTTTTCATCCTTGATTGTAAAGAAATCTCAAATGAGGTTGGGACAGGTTACGCGTTTGCCCCAAGGTAGCATGATTAGTGAGGGAAGGGTCTAGTAGTTACACTAAGCTGCTTGACACTAAATGCTACAGTTTTCCTCATGTGAGCTTGTGTACCTAACAGGGACTCTGTTAGGATTTGGATTTGACTCAGGTTTTAATTTCCATATGTGCAATAGAAAGGAACCCTGGTGACATAACAGTTATGCACTTGGCTATTAAACAAAAGGTCAGGGGTTTCAATACATCAATTGCTCCACAGGAGAAAGACTTTGCAGTCTGCTTCCATTAAGATTTTAGCTTCATTTTAAGACCATTGTCACAAGGGCCATTGAGGTCAGTTGGCATAATATAGTCCACAAAGACAGTGTTCTACATCCTCCTTTGGTGAGTAGCGGCTGGGGTCTTAAAAGCTTGTGAGCAGACACCTATGATGCAGCTACTGGTTTCTCCACATCTAGAGCAAAGAAGAGTGAAGAAAATCAATGATGCATGGAAACAATTAGTCCAGTGGACTAAGGGACCATGTAAGCCTCAGCCTCCACAACCCTGGGACCAGAAAAACTAGATGGTGCCTGGCTACCATTGTTGGCTACTCTGAAAGGGATCACAATAGAGAGTCCTGGATAAAGTGGGAGGAAAATGTGAAACAAAATTCAAAATCACAAATTAAAATAAAACAAAAAGAACAGATATATTGGTCTGTTAGAGACTGGTGAAACACCTAAGACTATATGACCCTTAGTCAATTTAGACCTCGAACTGAACTCACCCCCATGGCTCAACTTCCAGTCCAACATTGTTGTTGTTGTTGTTAAGTGCCATCAAGTTAGTTTTGACTCATAGGCACCCTGTACAGTGTTTCTGAGGCTGTAAATCTTTCTGTGAGCAGAAAGCTTCATCTTTCTCCCATAGAGCAGCTGGTGGGCTCAACCTTGTGCTTATATTACAGAGCCACCATGCTCCTCTGTCAAATATTGGTGGTGGTGGTGTCGTGGAGTTAGTTCCAACGCATAATGACCCTGTGTAGGATTTCTGAGGCTGTATATCTTTATGGGAGCAGAAAGCCTCATATTTCTTCTGTGGAGTGACTGGTAGATTCAAACTGTTGACCTTGAGATTAGCAGCCCAACTTGTAACCCACTATGCTGCCAGGGCTCAATCAAAAATTGTTGTTGTCATTGTTGTTAAGTAGTGTCAAGTGTGTTCCAACTCATAGCGACCCTGTATAAAGTTTCCCAGGAGAAGCTAGTGGGTTTGAACTGCTGACCTGTGGTTCACAGTCTAGTGCTAATCCCACAGTGCCACACTAAAAGTCCCAGTCAAACATTAGACAGGCCTATAAGATGAACAATACCATGGAGGCATGTATGCCTTAGAACAATCAACCCTACAACATCCAAAGGGTAGCATTTGCCCAGCGATAAAGCTGAGATAGCAGAAATGGATACGAAAAAGGACAAATGGAGGGAGGTAGAAAGAATTACATGTGGGCACTGCAATCAATGTCATAAAATAAAATGCATATGAATCGTTGAATGGAAAACCAATTTGCTCTGTGAATTTTCACTCAAATTACAATAAAAAGTTAAAAAAGAAAGAAAGAAAACATCTGGAATCTTAACAACTCTAAGCCTCTGTGGTTTGAATGGAAATCTCAAAGCTTTTTTGTTAAATAATTAAATAATCTCTTAAATTAAAAACAAAAAAACATTTCATCCTTGGAAGCTCTAGGAGCAGCACTACTCTGTCTTATAGGGTCATTATGAGTTCAGTATGTACTTGAAAGCACATAGTAACAACATGTGCTATAGTTGAACCTTGGGCTGACCCTTTTACTAAGTGGGGTACTAGAAGTGAAGGCTAATGTACTCATCTCTTCAACACTGAAAGAAGCTTAATTGTCAAGTTTACAGCTGAGTATTGCTCCTGCTGTGGCGCTGTGGGTTAATGCATCAGACTGCAAAGTCAGTTTGAACTGCAATGTCAGTGGTTCAAGCTCACCAGCTCCTCCTTGGAAACCCTATACAGGGTCGCTATGGGTCAGAATTGACTTAACAGCACTTAACAACAACAACAAATTGCTCCTGCAAAGATTTACAGCCTCAAATACCCTATACAGAGTCACCATGAGTCGGAACTGACTCCATGGCACACTGCCACCACCACTGCATATTGTTGTTGTTAAGTGCCATTGAGTCTGTTCTGACCCAAAGCGACCCTGTATAGGGTTTCTGAG